AAATCCATTATATGTCATCGTAATAGATCCATGTGTCAATTATAACCGACTGAAAAGTTAGCGTAATTCTCTTATATTGAGCAGTAACAATTACTATTTTAAAAACTAAAAATCATTTTTAAACATATAACATTAAATGACTGTCATGTATACCTGTCATGAATAATTATATGAAAAATATTAAAAGACGCATTAATAAACTGTTATTTTTACTGTTAATATCAGTCATTCCATCATAACTGATTATTGTTTTAAACCTGAATAATATTGTTGTGAAGAATTGCATCTGTCATGTTCTTTTTTTGATAGACACATCCGGTTATGCATGAGCATTTGTTTGGAGTAGTACATGATAATGTTTCATTTTTCATATGCTTAAAAATGACTTCTGGTTCCCAAAATAGTAATTGTCACGACTTAACATAAGAGAATTAAGCTAATCATTTAACTAGTTACGCTAATCCTAATCTTTTACGATGGGACAAAATTTCCCTATAAAAATAGTGAGGGACACAAAAAAAGTCTTAAAACACTATTTAATAAGGGCGTTGTGTCTTTAGTCAGAAATTTCATTTTAGTACGTTATGTTATTATCGAAATATAAGTTTATTATCCTGTATTTTTAATATTTCATGCAAGTACTTCCGCAATTTAGAAAATAGTTTTTTTTTATACCTAAGACAATTTTTTAGGACACGAAATGTCAACCTTTTACTTAATTTGTTCAGATTTTTTAAAAAAATATTTTAAAAAACATATAAAAAATTAAAAACTCTCAATTTTTTTATATATTTATAGCATTTTTAAATTATGTTTAAAAAATTTGTTTTTAATTAATTAATAATAATCATAAATTTGAAATTTCATATATCTTGAAAACTGTCGCGTCGTACTAAAATTCTTTTCTAAAATATTGAGGTATCTGCATGACAAAAAATATGATATTAAACACATATTTTGATATAATACATAGTAAAAAAAATGAAATTTTCCTAAAAAAGAAAAAGGCCTTGTGTATTTTTGGTTTTTTCAAAAAAAAAAAAAAGGAAAACGGGCGTTGTACTTTTGCTTTGTGTAGGACTCCAATGGCAATTGGCAATATTGAAAGGCCACTGTCTCAAGTGCTTCTTCTAGACTTTCCCCATTTTGTTTTCATTTATTTCTGAACAACTAGGTCTACCTTCAAGCACCAAAAAAAAAATTGCTGAGTGAAAAGACAATTTAACCCATATGTGAAAATGAGAAGTGTCGTATGCATCTGAATTATCATGTGAAAATAGTTCTTTTGGTATGAAGGTAGTAGTTGTGTGTTTTCTTTTTTTTTTTTCCCATTGAGTTAGGTTTTTAACAGTTAAATTTTTACATGTCCATATTAAAAAGCTACACCACACCACACCACATAAACTTATTCTTGTTACAAATATGACCGTTGAAAAATTAATCCAATATAATATAAATTCAGTCCCTAATGGTGGAGCAAAATAACTTGTTTCATCGTAAAGACTCATGAAGAAAAGAGAAAAAGAACAACTATAAAGAACAAGATAAAACTTCCCGCGGATAGACATGTATCAACATGCAAAATAATTTAAAAAGTGATCTTGGTATTTTAAAGAATTTAGTTGCTTCAAAAGATATTTTGGGTCTGTTTTTATAAACACAGGGGAAGCATTGCGTATTTACATAATAAAAAAGGTAAAAGTGGTATTTGGGAAAAATATAAAGAGTGTTTTGGATATTATTCCTTTTATTGATATCCTTGAACTTCCAGATTAATTTTACTTTGCCTCCTAGTATTTTCAAAAGCACCATATTTTTCACAACTAATTGACCAAAAAACCTCCATCTCGCACATTTCAGGAATGTTTTTCACTCTATCTACATCTGATGTTGTGTTCTTCTTCTTTTTTTCTTTTTTTAATAATCAACATAAACAGAGGTAAAGTATTTTTAGTCTACAGAATACTTATCAGTACAGTTTGCTTTCCTCATTTAATTCCAACTGTAACAAGTGAAGCAAAATGGTAGGATTAGGGTCAAACCTAGGAACAATCAACATGTGTTCATCCAGAAATATTGATCAGTTGCACACTAAATGAAATCTTTCAAGAATTTTAGAAGAGGAGTGATGAAAGAACTCATGAGACATAAACTTTTATGGCATCGTTCATTTCACCGATTCGAGTTTTTAATTTTATGTTTCTACAGTAAAAAGCTCTCAGAAAATGTCACATCTAACTTTTTCTGTTACAGTGAAAAGCTCTTAGAAAATGTCACATCTCAGCTCAAATTGAAAACTCGAATCCGCGAAGTAAACGAGGCCTATATGTTCACGCTAGATTAGTACGTTGGTCCAAGTGAAAAAATATTGTAGGGTTTCATATAATTCAAAAGCATTCTTGTTCGGCTCCACAGGAGCTGAGAGCTACTGGCTGCACGTGTGGGACTGGTCCCACAACCCGTAATACGTGCAAGATCGAGTGGAGCCCCCACAGAATTTTTTTTTTAAATTTAAAATGAGGTGAAACTCTATATCTTATAGATTAATTAAGCATAAAATTATCGATAAACTATGTGTGTAATCACTTTTTTTTAACTAATTGGTAGTTATACACTTAAAACCGTTGCTTACCTAACACTTCCCTTCTGAAATATTACTTTTAACGATAAGAAGCATCATGTATTATTTTTTGTTGATACTATGCCTTCAATTCAAAAGCTGAGAATAGGAAGTTATTGAAATGGCATAAAAATCGAAAAACTTAAATGTAGATGCAACAAGTGTAACAATTGACAAGTCACACTTGTTGCCACCAAAGTTACAGTAAAAAGAAAAAAGAAAACATTAAAAAAAGGAACAACATCGTCAATAAAATATCTAGTTGATCATGTTGTTCTTTTTTTTTTCCTTTTCTTTTTTGGCTAACACAACAAAATATCTAGTTTGGAACTGGATTGGAGTACTTGCAGGAAATTAGTTCTAAAAAAGATCGTAATCAGTTTAATCAGATCATTCCAAACATATTCAAATGAATTACAATTCTCTTTTTTTATTTGGGATAATCAAATTAAACGATTCCTATGTCATTTTCCGGTAATACTGTTTATATATATATATATATATATATATCGAACAAGTATTTTACGGAAAAACTTTTGAGGAGGAGTATCAAGATTCAAGAACTACATCAATATTTTTCTTTTTGAGAAAATAAAAATAAGCAAAGTATCTCAGAATCAGTACAGTGCAAGAATTTAACTCTTGCTTAAGCGATGAAAAAAAAGAGAGAAAAAAAAAAAAAAAAAAAAAAAAAAAAAAAAAAAAAAAAAAAAAAGAACTCAACAAAGAAATGGCAAAGAATCTAAAATTGGGAATTTATTTCCAAATCAAATTCGGAATTATTTTCTTCCTCACCAATCACCATTAAGAATCTGAAACCATCCAAAAGACATCAATACGATGAAAAAGGTATTGAAATCATGTTCATACTACGTGATACTTGTAGATCACAAAAAAGTTAATTTTTTTTTTAAAATAAGACTGATAATGATACAATATTATTGGACTTTAAGGTATACATAATGGTGCATAATTTAAAAGTCAACGTTTAAATTTTATTTAGAATAAAATCTACGAGATATAAAAAGTGAAAGTATCCTATTAGAAATATTATGCAATAGTTCTAATTTCTTGACAGATTGAGTAATTAAGTAACTTACTCTCCGATGAATAAAAGAAATATACTTTTCATATTTTATGTTTACTCTCTTTTATGATAGATATGACTATAATAGCTAAGATTGCTAGGCACAAAAATAAAGTGTGACAAAAATACGAATTCTGTCAATTCACTCTTTCTTTCCTAGTCTTCCATATGTTGTTTGAGTTGTGTATTTATGGTGGTTGTTCGGGCTCTGCCTTTGTAATAAGCATGCACACCGTGAGCAATTAAAGATATAGTGATAATCGTGATTGTGGAGGATCGTGACTTGAAGTATGAAGATCATATTCGTGACCGGAGTATCGTGAGGCAATCCCGTAATGGATCTTGTACTAAAGTTGAATTGGAGATTTGGGGTTGTTTGGTTGGGGGATTTGTACCCCGATTTGAATCATGGTTCATGGTTCGCTACAATACTTTTTCTCACAAAAAATACACATAAATCGAAAATGGTTATAATATTATTATTCTAATTCATGAACCAAACGTCTCTTTAACTTGAAACTACCGTAGACGCTTCCGTACATATACTTAATGGTATGTTTTTCTTTAAATATGAAAAAAATACCTTATTGCCAAGCTTCTACTATAAATTATGTTGAAACTCTGTATATTATATCTTGATCAAATTTAACATTTAAAACATTGAAGTAACAAACTTTATAAATAAGTAAGGCCCCGTTCATTTCGCTGATTTGAGTTTAGAATTCGAGTTTTTCTACAGTAAAAAGCTCTCACAAACAATCACATCTAACTTTTTTGCTACAGTAAAAAGCTCTCACATAAAGTCACATATCAACTCAAATTAAAAACTCGAATCAGCGAACTAAACGGGTCCTAATGATGAAAATAAAAAAGTATTCTCATATACAAAAGCGGAAAAAGAAAAATCTGCCACTCAATAGGGACACAACTCAAAGCCCTTTAGTGGTGCCGTTCACGGCTACAAGCAACGTCGTATACATTATCTATTTGTCGTCGCCAATCCTCTTAAAGGAAATGATTAAAAAAACAAAAGGGGAAAGACCAAAAAAATCAAATCGTCGTTTAGCTACAAGGAAGAAATCATTTTGGTTTCAGGCCTGCCTTTTTACCTGGTGCCACAGGTAGATTTAAAGATAAAATAATAATAATAATAATAATAATAATAATAAATGGAAAAAGTAAAGTAGTGAGAGAAAACCAATAACAATTTATGAATTTTTATTTTTATACAACCGAATATAAAAAAGATATAAACAGGATAGAGAAAGAAAGAGCGAGGAAGAAGTAAGAACTGTGAGGAAAACAAAAGGGGTCGTGGGGACAGCGAAGCAGAAAACGAGCTTCTTCTCATATATATATATATATATATATATGTATGCATATGTGTATGCGTGTGTGAGGCCTCTTGAGTCTTGGAAATTGAGAGATACATGAAACTGCGAAATTCTTCCGCTGAGTCGTAGTTTCTGTATCTCTTTTTCTGAGATTGAGCAGTATTAGGCCACACCCATTTTTCTTTTTCATTTTCTGAAACAAAGGTTGATTTGTTAGAGAGTCAGAGACTACTAGTAGACAAACAGAGAGGTATCTATATACTTTCTCTCTCATCTTCTCTCTCTCTCTCTTTATGTAATCTCATTCATCAGCTTCTGTTTCTTTGTTTGTTTCCTGGGAAAGTTTATGCCTTTGTTTTCTTTCTTTTTTTTCCCCTTCTTCTTCTTCTTCGTTCTGACTTCTGATAGATCTCTTGTGTCGCTCTGTTTTCTTGCCTTTGATGTAATTCTCTCTTTAATAATTGTTTTTCACGCTAATTGGATCTGGGTTTTTTTCCCATCTTCTTTTTTTACTCAATTCTGCAAAATTTGGTTGAATGTATGCTAAAATTTGGTGGGTACATATGAATTTGAAGAAAGAATGTATTAATGGCTCAAAAATAGCTGTGACAAAACAAAACAAAACGAATCATGAATTAATTAATTTCTTACGTTTCAAGATATGACTAACGATTAATGATTAAATTAATTACTTGGTGCGTTTTCTCACCTTTTTCTTTCTTTTCTTCTTGTTTTCTTGGTTTGGTTAAAGATCCACTCTACTGAGTTTTTTTTTTACTTAGAGAGAGAGAGAGAGAGAGATAATTACTTGTCTGGGACGGCCATATTTGATAAAGTTTTTTTTTTTTTTAATTACTTGTCTGTGACGGCCATATTTGATAAAGTTTTATATATATATATATATATATATATAAATTGATTGAAAGAATACATGTTTGATGAAGTTGGGCCCATAGTCATGTGAGAAATATAAAGTCAGTGTGACATGGAAAGTAGAAAATGTCGGTAGTTGCTTTCAGATCCTTTGATTTACAGCTTACTCTTAGTGGGCTCTTATTAGACTAGGGGTTGTTTTTTCAACACCAAATCCACAAGTATTTTCACGTTCCTTGATTTTCTTCACAGATGCTTAATAAATAAGCCAACTTTTTTACATTTTTTTTTTCCAACCACCCCTTGATTTTGCTTTTTGAGTAAATGATTACATTTGGCATAATCTGTTAGTTATAACCAACATCTTTCCGTTTTGCCTCCATGTTAAAGATCTACTGGTTTTTGCTCTACTAAAAATGTACGTATAATTGTGATTTCTTGATTATAAATTTATTGCACTTTACATAGTAGACAGTTCTGCTTTTATGGATCAGCCTTTTTTTGCCTTCAAGAAATATTTTTTGTGACCCTATTGTTATTATTTTTGAACTTTTGATTGTTTGTCGCGTTTAAATCTCTTGAGTTGGTGAATTAAGATGGTTCTCATTATTGAAAGAAGAAAAAGCAATGCTTGTCAAATATGGTATTAAATTGATGAGATGACCTGTTATGCAGATACTTGACAATTTCTGAGAAGATGAAGCACAAGGACGGAAAGCCGGGTTACCAGCAGGACAAGAGTTCCAGGGTTGTCCCCATGACAATCATGTTCGTCGTTCTTTGCGGGTTTTCGTTTTATCTCGGTGGAATCTTTTGCTCCGAGAAGAAGAGATTTGAAGCGAGAGATACCAACGATGTTGCAAAAGCTGCTGTCCAATCTTCCACGGATTCAGCAGTGTCCTCCTCGCTCCAAGTTAAATCTGTCACTTTTCCCGAATGCGACAGCAACTATCAGGACTACACTCCTTGCACTGATCCAACGGTAATTAATTAGTCTTTAGGATCTGTGGAAAAAGGTGTAACAATTGCGTTTGATCACTTGTTGTGTTTGTTCATTTTTGCAGAAGTGGAAGAAGTATGGTGTTCATCGGCTGACATTCATGGAACGCCACTGTCCTCCGGTGTTCGAGAGGAAGGAATGCTTAATTCCTCCTCCAGATGGGTACAAGCCACCCATCAGATGGCCAAAGAGCAGGGATGAATGTTGGTATCGGTAAGTTTCGGTTTATGGCATTTTGTCTTGATTGGTTCTATGTATGATGTTTCTATTATGTTTTGCTGACCTCACACTTTTGATCTGGGTCCAGGAATGTCCCTTATGATTGGATTAACAAGCAGAAGTCTAACCAGAACTGGTTGAGGAAGGAGGGCGAGAAATTCCTCTTTCCTGGTGGGGGTACTATGTTCCCTAGAGGTGTTAGCGAATATGTAGATTCGATGCAAAGCCTTATCCCAGAAATGACAGATGGGACCGTTCGAACTGCCATTGATACTGGATGTGGGGTGAGTATTCTTCTCTTCTGCTGCTATGTTTCGGGTTTTTAGCATTCTTAGGCGGCCAATGCTGGGTACATGATGGGTTAGATATTATAGTCTCTGTTGGAATGCTACTAGTCAACTTGTAGCCAAATTTTTGCCTTTTAGTAGATTGTTGTGACCTATGTAGCTAGTTATTACATTCTTGAATCTGTATTCAAGATTTTAAAAGCTTGGAGTAATGGCAATTCCATATTATTTATGACTATTACTTATTATGATCTTAATCTTGAAAAAAATCTGACTTCTCTTTGTGCAATTGCTTTATTTCTAGGTTGCAAGTTGGGGAGGCGATTTGTTGGATCGTGGAATTCTAACCTTGTCTCTTGCTCCAAGAGATAATCATGAAGCTCAAGTGCAGTTTGCCCTAGAACGTGGAATTCCGGCGATCCTTGGCATTATTTCTACTCAGAGGCTCGCTTTCCCATCAAACTCATTTGATATGGCTCACTGCTCTAGATGCCTCATTCCATGGACAGAATTTGGTAAGCATTGCAAACTTTAGCAGAGTGTATAATAATGTGGTCGGAAAAGAAACCGGTCTTAACCAGCTCTGGGATCCTGGCCTGCAGGTGGAATTTACCTTATGGAAATTCATCGCATACTCCGTCCTGGGGGGTTCTGGGTACTTTCAGGCCCACCTGTCAACTATGAGCACCGCTGGCGTGGATGGAACACAACCATAGAGGAGCAGAGATCCGATTACGAGAAGTTGCAGGATCTGCTCACTTCATTGTGCTTCAAATTGTACAACAAAAAAGATGACATTGCTGTCTGGCAGAAGGCTTCAGACAACAGCTGCTACAATAAGATTGCAAACAATGCTGAGGCATATCCACCTAAATGCGATGACAGCCTTGAACCGGACTCTGCTTGGTACACTCCTCTCCGCTCTTGTGTTGTTGTTCCAAACCAGAAGCATAAGAAATCGGGTCTAAAATCCGTCCCTAAATGGCCCGAGAGGTTGAATACCGCACCAGAACGTATCTCCGACATTCACGGTGGGAGTGCTAGCACTTTCAATCACGACAAAAGCAAGTGGAAGGTGCGGGCAAAGCACTACAAGAAGTTGCTTGCAGCAATTGGGACCGATAAGATTAGAAATGTGATGGACATGAATACAGTTTATGGAGGTTTCGCTGCGGCCGTGATTGATGATCCTTTGTGGGTCATGAATGTGGTCTCTTCATATGCGGCCAACACACTGCCTGTAGTCTTTGACCGTGGCCTTATTGGGACTTACCACGATTGGTAATTTTGGATCCATTTATCTTAAACTTTCTGAGTTTCATGCTATATTACTTTCTATTGTGGCTTCTGATCTCTTTGTTCACTTTATTTAATTGATTTTTGGCAGGTGTGAAGCTTTCTCTACTTATCCTCGAACTTATGATCTCCTGCATCTTGATGGCCTCTTCACTGCAGAAAGTCACAGGTAAGACATGCGGCTCAAGTTACCAATTTCTTGTGGGTCCCTTCAACTTAATTTCACTTGTTAGGTTACTTGCAACACACGCTAACTCAATCTTGGTTTGAATTTCACCGAGCACTTAAAAATCTTTCCAAATTATGTCCCCCACTGTTTCAAATTATTTACATCCTGACCTATTCTACATATTCTTATATGAGTAGTGAAGAAATCGTTTCATTTTTTAACTTAATACACGTAAGGATGCTTTTTTGATCAAATGCTTAACATTTGAATGGCTCACTCTTCTTGGGCAGATGTGATATGAAGTATGTGCTCTTGGAGATGGACCGGATCCTTCGCCCCAACGGCTACGCGATATTCCGGGAATCCAGCTACTTCGTGGACGCTGTTGCCACGATCGCCAAGGGGATGAGATGGGGTTGCCGCAAAGAGGACACCGAGTACGGCGTCGAAAAGGAGAAGATATTGATATGCCAGAAAAAGCTCTGGTATTCCTCTAATAAGAGTTCCCGGTGACAAAACATAGAAGAACTCAATTCATGGTTTGATTGATTAGTCTCTTGGAGGGTTAAGTATTATTACTTACAAATTCCATGGTTATATAAGAAAGAAGAAGCAAAGAAAGAAGCCAGTTTTATACCACTCACAAAGAGATTAATTGGTTCTACAGCAAGAAAAGCAATTTTTAGAATGAAATTTGTTAATTGAAAGACCCAAGTTACCCAATAAGTTGATTTTGTTGATGAATAGGGGATTTTATAATACAGTTATATATATTCGTTATAAGGTACCAAAATTTGTACTTGGTATAACTTTTCTTTTTGTTACTTTTTCATTTGTTCTCCCATATATTTGTTTCTTTCTTCTCCTAAGAGTTAGGATGATTATGTAATGTGAAAATATGCAAAGCGGTTGGAAGGTAACACGCCCAAATAGTTTATATATATATATATATATATATATATATTTATGCTAAATGTGAACTCTGCTGCTTCCTCTAATGTATGAATTGGCAAGCTGTAATTCTTTTATTATTGGAACTAAACCTTCATGTTGTTTGTTAATACAAGGCGAGGACTCATTTAAACGAAATGGCTTTTTAAAAACAAACGTAAATAATTGTAGTAATTATAGTCGTTAAGAAGCCTGTATTTCGCATGTTGCTGCGGAATATATATATATATATATATAGTATATAAAAGCAAAATATATATATATATGTATTATACAGTATTGTATTAGGAAAATAATTCATTATCACATAATGAATATAGTATATAAAAGCAAAATATAAGAAAGGAAAAAAATCAAATGAGTTTTAGAATATACTTAGTTGCACTAACATATCACATACATACATTAAATCTGTTTACAGAAAAAAAAAATGCTTTATATTACACTATAAAGTAATTACAGAAAATAAAAAAAAAATGAAGAAACATCTAAAAAAACACATAAAATGACACATTTAAAAACAAATAAATAAGTAAAATACTAAAGACAGATTATTACAATTATTATACATAAAGACCAAAGTAATTTAAATTAAAACATAAACAAATTTTTGTAATGTGAACATAAAAAAAAAGTAGTAATTGTTTAAAAAACACTAACTCATCAAATAACATTAATACCATAAGAAAAAAAATTGTAAGACATCAGCATAAACTCCAGACAATACGGATATAAACCCCAGACAATACAGGCACAAATCCCAGACAATACGGGCATAAACCCCAGACAATACGGGCAACATCAAAAACATCAATGTTTTAATTAACAGTCACCCTATATGTACTAACAATAAAAGAAAATAACAACATCATCGCCAAATAAGAATAAAGATTTAAAAAAATTTAAACTATTCACAGAAAAACAGAAAAGGAAAAATAAAAACCTAACGAATATGTAAATAACAATAATCTAAATAACTGAAATAGTAAAGAACATAAAAAAAAAAAAAAACCCTAAAACATAAATAAATGAAAAAAAAATAAGAAAAAATTTTCTTACAATGTACAGAAGAAACTTTAGAAATAAATTTAGGAAAAAAAAAATAGAAGAACGAAGACTTGCATCATCCAAAAATAAATAAAGCAAAATAAAATTAATACTTAAAATTACAACACACAAAAAGAAAGGGATTTTATGAACAAAACACTAAAAATGAAAAAAAAAAATAAAAAACGAAAAAAAAAATTTGTACAAAGATGAACAGAGGAACATAAAAAAAATTAAGAGAAACAAAAAGAGGAAAAATTTTTTTTTTTTTTTTTTTACAAAAACCATAAAACATCTACAAAAGAGAAAATATACTCTTATCTCATTCCAGTTTTCCCAAAACATCAAAAAAGGAACAAAGCAACAAAATTACAAAAACCATAAAAAATGTAAGAAGAGAAATTATACTCTGAAAAACGGGAAGAGAAAAAAAAAAAACTAAACGAAATCCAAATATATCAAAAAAAGAGGAATTCAAAAATAAAAAAAAATAATATATTATAAAATCGCAAGGTTAAATTTTAACCAAATCCCAAAACATTAAAAAAGAACAAAGCCAAAAAAAAATGAAGAAACATATTTGAGGAAATGAACAGAGCACGGGATCAAGACATAGTAGAAGCCTTTGAGGAAATGAACAGAGCACATGAGCAAGACATGGTAGAAGGTTCGGTGTAAAGAAATAGACAGCAGGAAAAGAAGAGAGAGAAAACGTTATGTCTTCAGCCCAAATTGACCAAACCCACCAAATGCTTTAACTGACCTACGCATGAAATGAAAGAGTAGACAATTAAATTAAAACAAAGGGCAATATAATAACTTTACATTAAACATGACATAACGGGACTAAATAAATCATCTGAAGAAATCTGAGGAGTAAAAGAGGAAGGACAATGTTTAGCATGAACAATGAATCCGTCATTTTCTTTAGTATATGTATAATAATGTCCAAAAAAAAAAAAACCAACAATCAAAGAGAAGATACCCAGGTAAAAGCACAACAAACCATATACCTAGAGCTGTACGCTTAAAGAACAAAAAGAAAATCTTGGTGAAGGCATTATAATAGATAAAACAAGGGAAATACCCTTCAAATATGTACCCTAATCTATTTCTAATCCTCAAAGATTAGCACATTTATTTTTACCCTTTTACAATTAAAATAATAAAAATAGTTAAATTTACACATTTTTAAAATTTCAAAGTTACCTCAATGGTCTATTGGTAAATTATAAGATATGCCGGCGGTCTCCCGTTGTTGGCAGGTCTACGGTCAGCTGCCAGTAGGTTTCCGGCCAGCCGGCCATAACGTGATAGGTTATGATCTATAACCTGGAAGATTACACCAATCACCAACGGGTCTCCGGCCATAACCTAACATGTTATGATCCATAACCTGACAGATTACGCCGAGCACCGGCGGGTCTCTGGCCGACCGCTGACTATAACTTGACAAGTTATGATCCATAACCTTACAGATTACACCGGCCACCAGCAGGTCTGCGGCCATAACTTGACAGGTTATGATCCATAACCTGATAGATTACACCAGCCGCCGACGGGTGTCCGGCCGGCCGCCGGCCATAACTTGACAGGTTATGATCCATTACTTAAGAGGTTACACCAGCCACCGGCGGGTCTCCGGCCATAACCTAACAAGTTATGATCATAACCTACAAATTGCACTGGGCACCGGCGGGTTTTCGGCAATAACATGACAGGTTATGATCCATAACATGATAAATTACACCGACTACCAACGGGTCTTCGGCCATAACCTGACAGATTACACCGACTGCCGACCTTCGGTCAATGGTGTCAGTCATAGTATGATCCATCAGGTTATAATCTATAATCTTTGGATATTTTAGTCTTTTGAATATGTGATGAAAATATCTCATATAAATGAAAGGAGTAGAGTTTTTTAAAATGAAAGAATTAGGAGGTTTTGTGATTTTAGGGTAAAACATGTAATTCTCTTTTTTATAATATGCAGATGATATGCCTCCTTAAGTCCTAACTCGGAATCTCCTCAGGATGCTATTATGCGTTTTTTTTCCTTGCAAATGGATATTTTTTTAAGGGTATTTTACACGTTGTTCCTCTCGAACTTTTAACTTTGATAATTTGCTTCCTATTCCTCAGTTTGATGATGATTTTGTCAAATTGGTTACAAAAAAGCATGTTCAACGGAAAGTTTTATCTCAATTCAACCCGTAACACAAACCCATTAATTGTCAAACTCTTAATTCATAAATCTAACAAAAAATCGGGAAAAAAAAATTTAGTGAAATGAAGTACGTTACAACAATTTTATAAATTGAGAGGATAAATTGTCAAAACAAAAAATTTAGAGGGCAAATTATTAAAACCCTATAACTGTTCATGAGTAAATGTTCAAAATAACCTTTTGTCCATCTTTTTTACTTTTAACTTTTTTAGGATTTTACTTAACTAGTTTTCATATGCATCGTTTCCAACTCTTCCTAATGCTAGATTTCATATGCGGGTAAAATCTTATAAAAAAATTGTTTTCACATATAATATAGTTTTTGTTCACAATCTAGTGTTAATTATTCTAAATTTATTTTATAGATAATATTTTCTCATTTACCTAAATTCAATATATCAACTCTTTCTGATGCTATATTTCATATACGGGTAAAATCTTATAAAAAAAAATTGATTTCACATATAATATAGTTTTTGTTCACAGTCTAGTGTTAATTATTCTAAATTTATTTTAGAGATAATATTTTTCATTTACATAAATTCAATGTATCAACTCTTCCTAACGCTAGATTTCATATGCGGGTAAAATCTTATAAAAAAATTGATTTCACATATAATATAGTTTTTGTTCACAATCTAGTGTTGATTATTCTAAATTTATTTTAGAGATAATATTTTATCATTTACGTAAATTTAATGTATAATATATTTATAAAAGAATTTCTCAAATTAATTATAAATGCGCTAATACAATCTAATTTCTATCAAATTTTTAACCAACAAATTAAAATAAAAATAAGAAACAATTATATTTTTTAAATGATTCAAGTTAAAAGTACTTAAAATGGTGATTACGTTAACTTTTTTTAGTTAGAACAATAATAATATCACATTTTTATTGTTAAAATAAAACCATGTTTTATAAAACATAAAATCAAATAGAAAACTAATTAGGGTGTACACATGAAAAAGAAAAAAGATATTTAAGTAAGAGTATACATGTGAATAAATATTTAAGGAATTAATTTCATAAATATCCCCAAACTATTTACCTTATTTTAAAATGTCTCATAATTGTTTAAAACAGTTCCAAACACCCATTAATTTATTCAAAATTACTCAAGTTACCCTTTTTGTCTTAGTCCATCTATAGATCTAACAAAGGGCATACGTGGCATACCATTAAAAGTCAACTAAGCAATCAATTCAAATTAAATACATTAACCACGCGGAATTGAGTTTTCAATTCGAATTGAATTTTAATTTTATGTGAAAATTTTTTAATGTGATAAAAAAATTAGATGTGACTTCTTTCACGTTTTTTAAGAAAGAAAAATGAAAACAGGAGAGAAACGACGTTTGATACAATTAAAAACAAAAAACAGAAATAAAAAAGATTTTTTTTTGGTTTAGTGTAAAATGGGAGAGAAATAAAAAACGATTTTTAGTCATTTTTTATTTTTTATTTCTGTTTTCTCCTCTCTCGAGTAGAGAGAGAGACATTAAGGGATTTTTTTATATTGAAAATAATCTCTTGATAAAACTACCAAACGCATTTTTAAAAATGATTATTGTTTAAGATTGAAAACGTTTTTATTTCCGTTTTCATTTCCATTTTCATACAAAAAATAAAATCATTTTGGAACGAGCTTCAAATACACCCGATGTTTGGCACAATTAAAAATAAAAAAAAATGAAAATGAAAATGATTTTTTAGTTTAGTGTAAAATGAGAGAGAAATATTGTGACTGTGTTTGGAATTGATTCTGTTTTTATTTTTCACGTTTTTTGAGAAAGAAAAAATAAAAACGTTTCTAAAACTGCATTTGGTGCAATAAAGACAAAAAACAGAAATGAAAATGATTTTTTGGTTTAGTGTAAAATGAGAGAGAAATAAAAAATGACTTTTAGTCGTTTTTCATTTTTTATCCGTTTTCTCCTCTCTCGAGCAGAGAGAGAAAGAGAGACATTAATAGGTTTTTTTACACTGAAAATAATCTCTTGATAAAACTACTAAACACATTTTTAAAAATGATTTCTGTCTGAGATTGAAAACGTTTTCATTTTCATTTTCATACAAAAAATAAAATCATTTTGGAACGAGTTCCAAACGCGTCCGTTTTTCATTTTTTGTTTCCGTTTTCTCCTTTCTCGAGCACGGAGAGAGACATTAATGGATTTTTTTATATTGAAAACAACCTCTTCATAAAATAATCAAATGCATTTTCAAAAATAATTTCTGTCTGAGATTGAAAATATTTTCATTTTCATTTTTATACAAAAATAAAATTATTTTAGAACGAGTTCTAAACGCACTTTAAGATTTTTTAATGTTCTTTATTTGTTTTTTTATTTCTTCATCATTATTTTTCTTATATTTAATGAGATAATGTTTTAGTTGACGTTTAATGCTTGTCATGTCAGCAATCCCTTAAGGTTATACACAAATTTTGACAAAAGAGCAATTTGAGTGATTTTATATATATTAAAAGGCGTTTTGACCTATTTTAAAAAATTAAAGAGCATTTTAAAATAATGTATATAATTTAGGGACATTTATAAAATTAATCCATATTTCAGTACTTGTCTTTTTTTTTTCAAATATAAAACATATTTAAAAACAACTCAAATAAAAACTAATTAACGTGTACATATGATAAGTAGAAAAATATTTCATTAAGGATCTCTTTGAGAAAAATTATTTCGGTGTAAAAAAAAAATTAGTCAAATACATTTAATCTATAGAGAATTGTTGTAAAAGTATTTGAATAGAAATGTATTTGTAAAAAGCATTTGAATTGAGAAAGTAGAAAAGAAAAAATAATCAACTGAAGTGAAAGAAATATCAATAAGGACAAAAATGACAACAAAAAATAACTAAGAGCCAAAAAAAAAAAAAAGGGTGGGAAACGAAATGCCGGCTAACGTGACGGAAGGAGAACGCTCCAAACTTCTATGCTTTTATATACGTAGACGAGATAGCAACGGAAAGTCAAGGGTATTTTACACACGTTCATTTTATAAATTTAAGTTTTTAATTTGAATTAAGGTGTGACATTTTAAAAAAAATTTTACTGTAGTAAAAAAAGTTAGATATAACATTTTTTGAGTATTTTTTACTGTAAAAACCTAAAACTGAAAACTCAAATCGGTGAAATGAACGAGGCCTTAAAGCTCGATTATTTTACCGATTCGAGTTTAAAATTCGAGTTTTGCTATAGTAAAAAGCTCTTAGAAACAGCCACATTTAATTTTTTGTTACAATAAAAAGCTCTCACATAAAGTCACATATTAACTCGAATTAAAAACTAGAATCAACGAACTAAACGGATCCTTACTCTCTAAATTTATATGATTTTAGTGACTTGCCCTTTATATTTTTAATTTTAGCGAATTGTCTCTCAACTAATAAAATTATTATAGTATATCTCATTTTGACGATGATTGTGTTAAATTAGTGTTGAAAAAACATGTTCGCAAAAAATTTTAATATCTCAATTCTAATGTAACATAATCTTTCAATTCTTCAACTTTTAATCATTTAAATCTAATAAAAATTTTGATTAAATTTAGTGAAATACGGCATATTATAAGATTTTTACAAGTTCGGAACACTGATTATCAAAATTAAGAATTTATGGGGCAATTTGTGAAATCACGATAAATTTGGGATAATTGTGCTAAAAAAACCCCAAAGTTAAACAAAGAGAAATTGATTTCTGCCCCCTAAAACGATGACGCTTCATCTCATTATTTCGGCAATTGCCCAATTCTTTCTCGAACGTTAACCCTAAAACACAGTCCACAGCTTGAATTTCTCCTTCTATGGCCGTTCCTTCTCTTCGCTCAATTACCTGATTCCATTACTCCTCACCTTCAATTGTGTTTTTTCCTTAGGTAATTCCTTTTTCTCAATCCTCTATTTCATTTCATTCCTCAATTATTTAATACCATTTTTGTTTGATTTGATTAAGAAATCGTTTTAGGTTGCAATTTTCGTTAATTTTCGTCGGAGTGAAACGATTAAGGGCTATTTTTATTTATGTTATTGGTACCGTTAGTCCCTGAACTATGGGCATTATCTTATTTTGGTCCTCTTTTATTGTCAGAGTTTTCCCTAAATTTTATATGTACATATATATTTTTTACAGTCTTTCGTTGACAGAAGAATTGACAAAAAATTGCTGAAATTTTAATCCTAATCGCACAGTAACCAACAGTTTCATAAAAATAGTTTTATAAAAGTAGTTATAATTTTAGTCCTGATCGCATGATTAAATCTCGTGGTCAATAATTTAATTTTATGCACGTTTGATGTTTCTCCACTACTCTAATATCTGTTCTTTAAGATACATTTGTTTATTCTTTCCACAAGTCTTTGAATTGTAATCTTGTAGATCTCTGCCTTGTATGAAATACTAAATTTGGTCTCTTTTTTTTTTTTTCAATTACATGACATGGTATAGCTAGGAGCTGTGAGAAGGTCTTGGAATTTCAGAAACACAATGGTTCATTTGTTTTTGTCAGAACCCACCTGGGATGATGTTGTGGATACTGATTCTGCCAAGATGAGAATCTCTCTCTTGAGTAAGTTGGAGTCTTTTATCCAGTCAATCTTGATGACCAGAGGTCGGCCCGAGGCTCGACTATGGCTTTGCAATACCATAGGTGGCATGATTTCTGTCTCCCGCTCCGATCAATGCGAGTTATTCATGACCTTACTGAGGTCTGAGCCGACAAAGTACGGCTTAGCATCTCAGCTCCTGCAAATGGTATTTGACAAGAGGCCGCAGAAAGTAGGGTCCGTCATATCAAAGAAAAGTTACATTCTTGAGAAATTCTTTGAAGGCAAGTGACTTTCTAACGAGAATGTGTTAATTTTACGCGATTTCTGTTGCCTGCATTTAAGTAGTCAGATCACTGCGATGCCTTTTTTTTTTTTCTGTTAGTTGGTTATATCGTCAATTTGTAGGATTATGGCAATCAGCTTAAGTTAATAGGGGAACTTGTAGGAATTCTGATCACGATACAAAACTTTGACAATGCAGGTAATCCTACGCGCATATCACAGTGGTTTTCTAGTTTTGCAGCTAGTGGTGGTGGTGGAATGGAGCATGGAAAAGGTGCTAAGGCATTAACTCAATTTGCTTTCATAAATCGGGATATATGTTGGGAGGAACTGGAGTGGAAGGGAAAACATGGCCAGTCACCTGCAGTGGTTGCTACGAAGCCCCATTACTTTCTTGATTTGGATGTTCAACGAACTGTGGAGAATTTTCTTGAATATGTGCCTGAATTTTGGTCGTCTAATGAGTTTGCCGAGTCGCTAAAAGATGGTGAGATTTTGTCCATTGATAGGAAATTCTTTTTAGAATACTTTATTGATATGATGTATAAAGGAAAAGCAAGAGATGTATGGGAAGTCATAACTGAGTTCCTCAAAGAGGAACCTTTCTCTTACGTGTGTCAACACCTACTTATTACTCTTGAAGAGCGGGAGTTATGTCAATTCCTGGAATTGCTTCGTGGATTTCTTCACCCTAACGTAGAATCTAAGCATTTTAGTAACTCGTCCTTTTTCTTTGAGGTTATACTTTCAAAGTACAGTGATTGTGGGTCTTTCGATCAGATATTACTGTTAGATGCAGTTTTGACTAGAAAACATGAGCTTCTACGACTCCTACGTGATGAAGGCGGCGAGGAGGTAGAGGAACAAATCAAAGATATTGTGTCCCAAATTTATGCTATTCCAGATCATGACACTAGCTTGGCACCAATTATTAAAGGTTGCTTTAAACTGAAGACAGCAGAATCAGTTAAATGGCTGGGCCTTCAATCATGGGTTCTTTATTACAAAATTTTGGATGGGTACCGGACTATTGAGTCTTGGGAGTCATTATTCATGAACAATGCAATTAGTTTCCGTAGGTCTAGTATGTATTCTTTACTTAATCATGATGGTTTGTCAGAAGAAAGTGGTTCTGACTTGGAGCATAGAGTTTCGAAGAAAGTTAAACACAGAAAAAGAAGTAGAAAGAAAAAGAAGAGGAAACTTGATCGTGAACATGGCAATGAGTTTCTTGATTTTGATACTACAAATGAGGGGCTTGGTCTGCAATCTGATGGCGGAAGTTGGATGTTGTCTATTGATGGGTATTGCACATCATGGAGCAGAGTAAGTCTCTTCATGCAAACTATTAGATCCCTTTACATTCAGTATTGCATAACGTTTTGTTTTAGGACTTCATAAAGTGCATTTTATCTTGTCAATGCATTAATATTTTGCTCATTTTTTTATTAGTATACCTTTTTTTCAGCCACCCCAATCCAATGGTCATTTATCATTCTTTCCTTCAAGAGAAAAAACCATATTGCACTTTGTTAGGATTCTGGACTCAAAAGAAGGAGTTTAACCAGCGGAGCTGGGATGGAATACAACAGTAGTTCTTTTTATTGATTTTTCGGACAATTTCTACTAACACCAGAGAGCTCTAACAAGGCTCCTAATTAGCAACAATGGAAATTACAAGAAAATAAGATAGAGAGGGATTTTCGAGGAACCCCACAACCTCCCAAGCTTTCAGCCGAGCCAACAGAATTCTTCACACCCTCCCACTGGCCTCGATCCTTACCCATATACTCTCCTTACCTCTAACTAACTTCCCACTTCAGCAGCTCCCTCTTTCAGCAGCGCTCACACCCCCAGACAAGCCTTCCACCTTGGGCTGAACTTCACTCTCTGGGCCTGGCCCCCCTCTGGGCTGAACCTCACTATTTGGGCCTGACTCCCCTGGGCCCGAAGCATTCCCTCTCCTAGACCTCCTAACATAGACTTTCCTTACTGGGGGTCTAACATCACTGCCCCCTTCAAAGACAACCTTGTCCCCAAGGTTGAAATCATGGAATTGCGCCTGAAACACGTCCAAGAGCTCTCATGTGGCTTCCCAATCCTGCAACCCTGTCCACTTAACCAGCACCTCAGCCACCTGTTTACCCCCCAAGGATTTCCATCAGCCACGAAGTACCTCCAATGGTTCAACCTGCAGCTCTAATTCGTCCGAGAGGTGTGGCGGGAGTGGCAGGCACCGCGTCGCACTGCCTTTGAAAGGTTTCAACTAGGAAACATGAAAAACAAGATGAATTCGAGCGTCCGCTGGCAGTTGGAGTCGATACACCACAGCGCCAATCCGCTCGACGATCTCAAAGGGTCCATAGAATCGTGGGGCTAATTTCTTATTGACCCTGCGTGCCAATGACTTGAGGCGGTAGGGCCGTAGCTTGAGAATAACTCGTTCCCCTGGAGAAAACGAGAGTTCCCGGCGGTGGACATCCGCGAATTTCTTCATGCGCTGCTGTGCGAGTACCAAATGCCCTTTAAGGATGTCGAGGAACTCATTTCGCTGCTGGAGCTGTTGATTCACGTCCTCGACCAGGGATGGTGAATCCTGGAATTTGTAAACCGTTAGGGGATCTCGACCATATACCACCTGAAAAGGGGTGTCCCTAGTTGAAGCGTTGTAGTTAGTGTTGAACCAAAACTCAGCCCATGGTAAATATTGCAGCCACAAGCGCGGTTTGTAGCTCGCGAAACAACGTAGGTAAACCTCTAAACATCTGTTGACCACCTCAGTTTGGCCATCGGACTCAGGGTGATACGCTGAGCTGCGGCTCAGTTTCGCCCCCTGCGAGCGGAAGAGTTCCCGCCAAAAGAGACTCATGAAGAGCGGGTCGCGGTCCGTGACAATGGAGCGCGGGATCCCGTGGAGCCTGACAACTTCCCGGATGAACAACTCAGCAACTTTTTTGGCTGTGAACGGCCGAGACAGGGGAAGAAAATGGGCGTACTTGGACAGCCTGTCAACCACCACTAGGATAGTGTCGATGCCCTGTGATCGGGGTAACCCGCCTATAAATCCATGGAGATGTCATCCCATACTCTCTCCGGAATGGGCAGGGGTTGTAGTAACCCTGCAGGAACCAGTGCATCCAACTTAGAACGTTGGCAGACTGCGCAGCTCGCGACAT